AATCTGGAATGAGGGGGAAAAAAGCAACAAAAAAATAAAAAATAAAAAATAAAAAACATACAATGAAAAGTAAAAAGCTCAATATTTTATTCCTGTTTAGAAAACACTTTGTTCAATTTTATGGATCAGTTCATTTGTATTTGAAAATTTGATCTTAACGAGGGGAAAAATARTCTTGTTTTCAATCCACAGCAGAGCATCTGTCTTGAATAAAAGGAATACTTATTTCATCATTTAGGCTAATTAATTCCATTAGGCTGYGATGCTTTATGTCATTCAGGACCAGTGCAGAGGGCCAATTAASTGCCATAGAAACCAGTAAGATGAGACTTAATGAGGCATTTTAACAAACTCATATAAGACAATATCTTTTTTTTGCCACTTCAGTAGAAAACAAAACTGAATGTTAGTTTCTTAATTTCTGCATCATCAGTGGCTTATTTTTAAATATATAAGACAATATCTAAAATTACATGCAAGTCACGTGACGCAGCTGCATCAAAATAAAATTGAAACAGCCCCATGTATACATCTTAACGCTAACTTTTTAATACCCAGATATCTTAAAGGTTTTTGTTCACAGACACAGTCCTTGGAAATGGAGGTCATTGATTTTCTCACTGCATCTGTATAGCATCTCCCCTTTCCTGCCAACACAACATGTAATACATATAAAACTGCAAGCTTTTCTTTAACCAAAGCAATCACTTTTGCTCAGCTGAGCTTCATAGCATGATGGAGCCTGCCTAAGTACCTTTCCCCCTCCAACACACATCTCTTCAAACCCTCTGAAAAWGTGTTATAAGAGTAATAGTAATTACAACAAAAGGCTTGAATCAAGACCCAGCAAATTCAATAAACGTCTGAATGAATCAATGGGACTACCGCGTCACTGCTAGGCACGCTGCTGGGGGGAGTACATGTGCACAAAAACACCAAACAAAATCAAAAAAATCACGTCAGCTCTTATTCCCCATGAGGAWGAGCCACAAGACAACTTGTCTTATATCATCACCTTTACAGTTTAAAGTAAGACGTGGGTTTTAGCTTTCAAATAAAAAAAGTGTTTACTGCCTTTCATCATGGGAAAAAATGTAAAATATCCTTTAGGTGAGTGGAGTCTGGGCATCATGGAATCTGAATTAACAAATAKCTTGAACACCATGAGCCTACATAAACTTCACATACTGTTTAACTAAAACAATGACGTGAAAACTTCCACTTTAGAGACATGCATTGTTTTCAAGAAATATGTTTAGCTATAAATTACTATAATGAAAATAAATTAGATTRTGTGGTTTCAGCCTGTACTAGAGCCAAAGCTAACTAAACTGCCAACAGAGGCATTTAAAGAGACTTGTATCAGGTAAGACAACTGTCAGAATCATTGTATGTGTAAGAGTCTAAATTTGTATATGTAAGTCTATAAACGTACATAAATTTGTTACAACTTTGCCACATTACAAGTACGAATCAAATTTACAAGTTCAATTCTTATGTGAGAATACAAGCTTTTAAGTTACAAATACAAGTTAAAAAGTTACAACTTTGCCACATTACAAGTTCGAATCAAATTTACAAGTACAATTCTTTTACCTGTCAAAATAAGACATTATGCATGGAACACCGAAAAGATCGATTGCAACCAGTAACTAAGCCAGACCACTGCGGGGACATGACCACTGCCTCATTTGGGACCAGAAGAACTCTTTATAAATACAACAATTTGCTGAAGGGAAAAGCATTTGGAGGCTTTTCAGTTTGTCATTCATGTCGTGTAGTACAACAATAAAGTAGATAGTGGATTTATGATGAACAACCAAAAAAGAAAACTGATGCATTCATAAAACCAACTGCATAATGGAAAAAAAATTCAAGTTCAAAAACACGTAACGGCATTGCTCTGACCCGGCCAGCAGGGGGACTCAAGTGGCCCACCATCAAACCCCTAAACAACTGTAAGTTAAACTCTTTTTACTTGTTTGTATTATTTTTTTCACATTTGGTACACRTAGTACTTGTCAGTATTTGTAAGAGGATGTGTTTAAACAGTTTATATGGTGAAAGTAGAGCTTCTTTGATTGCTGTTGTTGTTAGCATGGTGTTAGCATTACCATGATGATAATAGGAAAGAAAAAACAGCCTCATGTTTCCTGTTCAGTCGAAGTTTATTTAGAACGGCTTGAAAAGAACAAAAACCTTATTGGTGTTAACAGTGAGTTTAAAAAGCTTTCTCTGACTATATTTTGTTTTGTTTATTAAGACCTTGTTGGCTACATTTTTAAAGCTTTGTCAGAACTACACGGACATTGATTTTAATTAGAATCACCACAAATCAAAGTTAAACTGTGTTTAACTAAGTTAATCTATTTTAACTACTACCAAACTACTTCCTTCAGATTTCAGTGACCAATATGTGTAGAAAAATGTTTGCGGCAACCAGTGGAAGCCAGTTCCACCCCACATCAGGTCAAATAG